AGTTACCCAATTTTATTTCAAAAAATGTGTTTAGAACCTTCAGGTTGCTTAACTTTTCTAGGAAACATAATGACTAGTCTATGTAAAAAGAGAACTTAGAAATTTGATTTTTTTGAGAAAAAGGCCTTCTTCCTACAGATTTCCTGAACACGGCCATTGTAATCCTCTTGAGGCTAGACCACTTATCAAATTTCCATTTCTTTTCAGAAATAGCTTAGGAGTGAAGCTACCTTGAATTCAGGTGTGAATTTTTATTGATTTTTGAGAGTTTGGCCACGTGTTCCTTTATCCAAGCCTGTCTTCTGCTCCCTCTTATCTAAACATTTTACTAGCAATATTCTCAAGTATTACAACTTGAGAAAATCTTGTGTCTTGAGAAAAATCATTTCTATGACTTATTAATGAACTAACTAGGGACAATTTTCATAGGGTTCATTCACTCAAATTTATCATAGAATACAATTTAATGAGAAACAATTAAATGGAGTAATTGAATTCAAGTCATTTTTTGAGTAATGTTAGCATTCAATGAATCTCTGACCATGCTTATTGAAGTTATCAATGTGTCAAATTTCCCCTTGAAGAAAATCAGCCACAAATCCTTCATTTTCCTTGCTCTGCTCTGGTCTATGGGGCTGCTGTGTGTTTAGAAAAAAATGAAAGGACTGATGACCATGTAGATAATGTCTTTCCAAACATACCATCGATGCCGCGCTACAAAAGCGATCCAGTTTGGTGGTCCTCTCTCCTTTAGAGATGCCTATTTTGACAATTCCTCCTTACAATCTGCTTTAATATTTAAAAGAAGGCAATGGGGGCTTTGGACTGAAATTGAAGTTGCAGAGTCCTGTGTATTTTTCTCAGCCTAGTTGAACTTGGAACTGTGCAACTTTTCTCAACAATTTTGCCAATTAAAAGACTCCCTTTAGCTGTAGATGCTGAGAAGCCTGGGCCTTTGGTTCTGCTCCTAAATGGGAGTGGGGAAGGTGCTCACAGAACGATGCCAAGCACCACGGGCTGTACAACTTCTGTTTTATTTTTGTGTGCTTTTTTTTTTTATAGGATATAAAGACAAAAATTACAAAATTTATAACTGGAAGCCCAAGCTTATTTACACATATGCTTCTGTTTCGGCAAAGCTCCTATTGACTTTTCTCCTATACAATTGCCTCTTGGTACCATATCTTAGTGTTATTTAACTCTCATTTAGCTACATACATATCAACAGTGAATAGGCAAAATATATACAAGGAACTGTTCAGTTCAAGTAATTTAATATTGTATTAAAATTCTTCAACACTGAACTAAAACCATATACATTTGTCAGTTTGAAATAAAATTTAGTTATTCTTCAAAACTCACCAACTGATGAATGTAACTGATCATCTCAGTTAGGTTTAAAATAATATCAGTTAATAAAAAAACATTAAGACAATTCCACAATTTATCAATATCGCTATAATGAACTTCAAAATGATTCACAATGTGATTGTTAGAACAATATACATTAAAATGTTATTTTTTTCTATAATGATATTGGTACTGTTTATATAATTTGATTCTACATAAATATACATTATGGTATCATACAAATACTCCACAGAGACATTAAAAAATTAAAATACCTTAAAGAAATGTAAGTAAATTTTATTTAATCAAATAGTAAGCAAACTTTTTTTTCTGTTTGTCTCAAGAAAAGATTTATTACTTTGGAATTTCTTTTTTTTTTTTTTTTTTTTTTTTTTTTTTTTTTAGAAAAAGAAATTTTTGCAATAGAATTTTATTAACACCTTTCTCAAACAAGGTTTCCATGACAGAAATCTGTATTTGTTTTTTCTAGAAAAAGAAATTTTTGCAATAGAATTTTATTAACACCTTTCTCAAACAAGGTTTCCATGACAGAAATCTTGACAGCAGGAGCACTAGATTTTTTTTTTTTTTTAACATGTTCTTTAAAACACTGTGAAGATTTAAAAAACAATCTTGGCAGGCTGATGGCTGTTTCAGCACTTCCGGGTCTCCTGCTCTAGGGAGCATCACCAGTATTTTGCCACCACTGAGCCAGTCCTCTTGGTAGTAGCAGTAGAAATTTAATTATTTGAAATGAAACCAGAAACATCCCTCACAACTAACCTAGTTTTCTTATCAATGCATTAATGAAACATTCTTTTAATAAAAATATTTAATACAAGACACATTTTGCTGTGCATAATAAATTCCTGTTTTGAATCATTCTTTCCTTTGAACCAATCATTTGGTTGAAAGGTTTTCTTTCTCTGACATAGTTGATTACATATAAAATCCACAAATATAGAAATCGGGAAACAGAATCTCCTGGCAATCATATCATGGGACTTGTTTTTGTCCTTTTGCATTAAACGATACTCAATGATAGAATGATTTTACAGATGCTTTGGAGGTGGGAGGGGTAATGCTGCTCTGATTTCACTTTTAAAACTGCTGACAGTGAAAACATACTTTTAGGCAGTATTAGAGATCT